CCTTTATCCTTTATAATTACAACTATTTTTTAATGTATTAATAATGATTCTGGTATTTTTTTAAATGTTAGTATCTTCATTAAATGAAGCGCTCACGTTCGCTTGCCTGTCTGTAATGAGGATAGGGCAGTAGCCTCAAGCTCCAGGATAGACTCCACAATTTTTTTGATATCCAAGATTTTTACAGCAAGATAATTATATGCTGGCTCGGAGATTTACCTCGGCGTGAATGATATCATCTCAGTTTCTCTCTACTATCATCTTCTCAGTTGCTCCCTACATTAGACCTTCTATTCAACCTTATTCATATGTATGTGCAGCCTCATGACTATTCATGAGTTTGCCTATTTTTCTGAATATATCAAAATGAAAAATTTTGCAATTTCTTTCGCAGTCATATTCTTATTCAAAGGGAAGTGTTACTGGGACGAACGTTTTCTGGATCTATTATGTAAGTGATGGAGTCCACAGTCATTTCTGGGCTCCTTTATGTCATCTGTAGTTTGCTTCAAGCGAATTTCAAAAGCTTATCTCCTCTCTCAAATTATCTGATCAGTTACTATGCTAGATGATCATAGTATGAACTTATCACATCTGCGACTGGAATGACAAGAGCCGAAGCCAACTGGCCTCTGACCTATGCGGTAGTAGCTAGTTGTCTTGGCATGCTGCTCGGACATAATGTCCACTGTTTGCCCTAGGCTCACCATCTTTGCGAAATGAAGACTTTTTTTCACATTTTCCCTTCATCGAGACAGACTCAACTTGTTATAGCTATGAGCGTGGCAGATTTGAGATGTTAAACTTCGTTGGGATCCAACTAAAACACGGACTGACTGTCGACGGTACCCATCTCAGGATTCCTCGTTGTGAGTCAGTTCGCGAAGACGATTCCTTCTGTCATTCGCAAATGATGATTGAATTTACAATTGCTTGAATTCTATGCTTTGTAACTACTAGATTGGATCAGCAAGTCGGTCCTAGGGTNGGCTGGCCACCGCAACAGGCCACATACGCACTCATTACGCCACTACGATTCTGAATGGCAGTCGAATGCGTCGGTGCATCCCACAGGCGGGATTGATCAACGCTATAAGACTTTATCCTTCACCTTTATAAGTCGGTCCTGGACCTTTGTTTGAGTCCTTACCATTACGTTCCACTGTGATTAAGCTATTCTGTCATGTTCTCTTGTAATGGTTTGCAAACTACCAATTTAAACTCTGGTGTAATCAAATGAGCATCTCCCTTTTTTTATTACCGCCCTACCATCATCCCCGACTTCCCTCTTCGGAGGCAATATCAAGCTTAGAAGACTTCGCAGTTGCAAGTGTACTAGTCACATAGACACTTCTCGAATGGAGTAACAGGAATCCTGTTCTTTTCCAGGAATTGTGTGGGTGAGCGAGTTTCATTAGGTTTCACCACACCCCTGCACTAATAGAGCGCTATTCTTGCAACCACGTTGAGCTTACTTCCATGAGCCAATGGGAAGGGACTGTTTCTGGTTACCATTCATTGTGGCGTTTCATTTTTTCGATGGATTCGAATGCACATCCCCGAATGGGAGACCCATCCTGCACATCACATCCAGATGATGTCACATTCTTGCTTCAGCTTCCGCTGAAAGCTGAGCCCTCCTAATCCAGTTATATTCACTTTTATTTAATGAATCGGATAATCGTCTGCGTGAATGTCATTTAGCATCTTTCTCTTAGCATCATAGTTTTCAATAGTGTAAGGAAATGGAGCGGAAGCGTGTGGATGCTTCTGAATAGTAGGGAAGCACGAGGGATGCGAAGACAACTTCCTGGTCGGACTCCTATAGAAGCGGTCAAAAGCAATAATCACTATGGTGAAGCTGCTGGG